TTCACGCTGATCTACTTCACTCGGTGAACTGTGCACCGGTGTACTATGCACTCGGTACTCTGCACTTCAATCGATGTATTACGCTGCGTACCTGATCCATCGATGTATTATGCAATATAAAGTCAGAGCGCAAAACTCTTCGCCAATGATGCTTTCGGGCCACGTGTCTTCTAGTTTTTTAAATTTGATGCCTGGGAGAGCAAGTAGTCAGTCCGCACAGAGGACCAGGCTCCCCATCGCGACAGTGTAAAGGCTGCAGAAGCCATCACTTCCTGGGAAGTTATCGCCTGACGCGGCGCCAGAAGCCCCTTTATGCCCTGGCCCCACTGCCAGATGCACTGTGCACTTGCAACTGTCGGTAGCATTTATCCTCGGCCTCCCTGCTCCACCGGACACCACCCAAGGCGGTGAGCCCCTTGGCGGTCGGCCCTGCAGCTTCGGGCAGATGTGCCAGAGCTGCTAGCAGCCTTTCAAGATCTCAATGCAGGAGCAAGTACTGGTAGCAGCTACTAGACAAAGGTGCTTCGCCGGGCCTGAGCAACGCGCTCTGGATGCCACCACGGCTCTGGCCACTTTGTGCCAAGAGCAAGGACAGACCCAGCCCACCATGCAGCTCGCCTACCAGCAGTGTCGCCAAGCCGAGCAGCTGCTCCCTGCAGGGCGACTGCGTGATGCGACTGCGACCTGTGAGAAGGATGTATGGCCTCTGAGCATCCACGGTTGTGCTTCGCAGGACAGCTAGCGCTTCCATAGCAGGCACAATCTCTGCGAGAAGCAGCCGACCATCGCCGTCCTTCCATCGGCGTCGCAGGGCGCTGACAACCCGTGCTGGAACAGCACAGCTTTCTGTGCCTTGCGCTGGTTGAGTGTCACAAAGACCTTCTCCAACAGGTCGTTGGCAGAAACTGGCTTCTCGTCGTCATCCGTGTTTCCTGGCTATAGACCAAGTCTTGCAAGGCTACATGCCGTACTACAAGGGGTTGAGCTCAGGACTTGAATGAAGACAGCAGAAAGTATGGTTTCGAAGTTGCCGTGAATTCACACTGCTCCTGCCACTGCATCGTTGCTCATAGTTCACCCTCCACTCTCCGAACGCACAAACCAGACTGACAAGAAAAATTAACAACGAAAGCAAAAGGCAACGTCCATGTAACCCACATGATGACCAGCATGACAGTAGATATACCGTTTACCACTCTCATTACCTAAACACCAGTACCTGCAACATTGCTACTACCCCCATCGCCGACGAATCATGATCACAAGAAGAAGCTGCGCTTGAGCAAGGCCTCCTTGCGCCTCGCCCTTCAGCGAGGCCAGCATGACCAGGGCATGCCTCCCGGTGGTCAGAGCCCCATAGTAATAGAGCCCCGGAGCCCTTTCATCTCCAGCGGCCCCGGACCCAACCTTGGACTTAGGCGACGATGCGCTTGAAGCATCTCTCCGGCAACATGCCGCAGGAGGCTTCTGCAGCTCGTCTGGCTCCTGCAAGAAAGCGCTCTCCGCATAAAAGGGGGCCCAAAAGGTGGCTAAGCTGGCGGGTCCTCTGCGCACTCTGCGAGGCACGCGTGAGGCTACTCAGGATTGCCGCTAGGCTGCCGGTGTTGCACTTCTTCAGCTGGGCCTGCAAGGCACTGCACCGCAATTACTTTCTTGCTTTTGCGTTCGAGAAAGGAGCGAAATCACGACATCGCGCAAGGCTGGAGTACCTTCCGGTCATTCAGCCAGTCCCAAAGGTCTTCCTGATGCCCATCAGCCGCCGCACGTGCAACCACCGCCAGGTCGACGTCGGAGCCCACTCCAGCCTTCGTCTCTAACATTCAGAGACTCCGATCGCAAAAGCTCAACATTCTGCTAAGGATGTAGCTTTAGGCTCTTTCGGTGCCTTCCTGTTGGTGTTCGCCATTTCTTTACAGAAGGCGCTTTCCGACATGGGAAATCACCCTGGATGCTAGTGGCTTGAACAGAATACTGTCTCCTACTGGAGCCGGGTGTTCCTGGAGCTTGCAAAGGAAACCCCCAAGGTGTAACAACCCATCCGCATCCCGGTAACAAGCCTTGTGAAAACTGCGGGCGACCGGGACTTTAGTGACAATCGAGTGAGATCTGCAGGCGAGTATGGTGAACGAGCCGGTGAATCTGCGAGTGGGTGAATGCGGGAGCGCAGAGGTGTCAGTCCTGAGGGTGGCAAACGAAGAAATGAAGGCTCTTGCAGTGAGCTTACCACGGCAACAATGACCTTGATGAGGAGGAAGCTGGAAGAGCACTTGAAGGCGATTGTAGCGACGGTGAGTGCGGTGATGCCACGCTGTAGGTATACATAGTCTAGACCGTACGTGAAAACGAGGAGAGACGCTGAAAGAGAAGCTTTCACCATCTGAGCATGACATTGGTGAGGATGATTAGGAGGAGCTGAACTGTCAGTTGGCAGTGATTGTTCTTTGATTCAAAGTAGTCGATGATGACTCGAGCGAAGGACACGGACCGTTGAACCTGGTCACACATAGCATGTGCAACCCCGCGGCCAGCATAGCATCCACACTAAGATCTGCGGACTGCAGTTCTGGCCGTACACCTTGCGAAATCTCCTGGCAAGCATTCGGATCGAGCGGATTCGACAGCACATCTCTTTGGTCCAGGACCTTGAGCTTGGAGGCCATGCTGGGTTTCCAGGGCCAGAGTGCACCCGCAGAGAGGTCGCACAGCTTCCTGGTCTGATGTCTGCACCCGGCTGAACCCGTGCCCCATGACATCTCCTAGAGCGAGCGCTGCGGGGCTCCTGAAACAAAATCTCCGCCCGAAGTTCCATTTGTTTGTGTTTCCGTGTCGATCGGGCCGCCGTCTTAGCTAAGCTAAAGCTCGGCTTAAAGGCTGCATCGTCGTATCGCCATGCAGATGGGGGAAAGATTCGGCGGCTCTGATGAATTCGAAGCCCGTGTTTCGACACTCGCAGCCTCCTTCCAAAAACCCACATCCCAGACTTCAGGGTCTTGCGGGTTGCGTTGTCTACCAACTCATCCATATTGGCCCTGTGTTTGAGATGCCCTGCTTCTTCGGATGCGGCTGCTCTGGTAATGTTCGCATGCTGCGGTGTGTAGATTGTGCAGATGCAGGTCGGGCTTGTCAGAGTGGTCCAAGCACTGCAGTTGCCGCCTTTCGCTAGAAGAATGCAGCCAAACACACTTGTAAGGCCCTGTAGCCGGTTCCAGAACCCTTCTCCAATGTGTTCAATCCTGGTAAAACGTCATGACATGTTCTTCCGCTGTGTATTTTCGTCAGCTTGATGCCAAATCCAGGTGCAGTATGTTGGCTCGTTCTCAGTCTCATGCCAGCATGTTTACATGTACCGGAAATCTCGCACCGTCCTGCACCCCGTGATTGTTCACATGCGTTTGCAAGCCCTTGTCACACTTGTATCAGTTTTGCAGACATACACACTGACTGAACATTTCTGCGAAGGAGTGGGCAGCCTGATATAGAACCTGAACGTTGCTTGCTGTGCGAATGGCTCAGTGTGCTCGAGTTGATTGAAATCGTGCTCTCACCACAGTACCGCGTTTTGGGTGCGAGCCCCCTTCGCGCAGTCCCGCGCATTTCCGCCTCCCGAAGTCGTGCTGCTGCCACGGTGCTGAACACTGGGGTGCCAATCGTGCTCGTGCCATGGTCTGGCGGGCAATTTGGACTCACTGGGTCCCTTGAGATGGTAGCTGCTAGCTTCTCTGTCACTGTTTGGAGGCTACGCACCCTAGCACAATCTGTGTGATGCGACGGAAACATTTAGGCACTCAGAACCGACACGAGCGCAAAATCTCTGCTTGAATAGGCAACCGAGCTTCCCGTCTGCGGCAGACAGAAATGGCCAGGGACTCTGCCACTCCATCAGCTCAACATGATCATCGTCATCCTCCTTAGGGCAATTCACTCGTTGCTTCAACTGTGGAGCTCTGCGGAGAGCATGCGGCTTCGTCTTCACCAAAGCACCTTCTTCGCGGCATCATGCCCGCCACCGGCCGCATCGTTGGAGTCGGGGGCCTGATCTGGTCGCTTTTTCAGGAACAGTTCTTTGGAGCTCATCGCTTATTGTGCCTGAAGCCCAGAAGTGTCGTCGTCCTCCTCGTTATGGTCCACTGCGAGGCTCCTGGAATTGCAGCGGGCGGGAAGCGCGAGATCTCGGGCGGGCTGTTGTTTGGTGCCCGACCTTGTGCCAGGGCGCCCGGGCCAGCGAAGCCTTGGAGCCAAATTAGACTGCAAGGATCCTTGGCCCTGGCACTGGACATGCTGTGCCCTTCCTTCGCAGCGCCAGTGCCCTCTGGAGAGGGCGAAATGCCATGGATGCTAATGCGCTACATGAAGCCCACTTTGATGTGAAGCTGGGTCGTGCCAGGTGTGGGCTGCGAAACTATCGGCACCGGGGGTGAGGCTGAGGGAGACATGGTAAGGCTTGCAAGACTTTCCAGGCTTTGAACCGGAAGTTCCACGACGCCAAGGCGAAGTGAGGCGAAGGTGCGCGGCGTCGAGCACAATCGGCTCTCCGCCGCATTTGAGCCACTCAAGTCTGGGCTCGCGCCTCCGAAGAGTTTCCCTGATCTCTTCGCACGGAGATGCCTTCCTCACCTGGCCCCAACGGTGAAGGCGGCAGCCCTTTACTTACAGGTGCTGCAAATGTCGCGAGTGTTCGTCAAGTAAGGCTGCAACCATCAAGCCAGCACCCAGGTGTTCACAGACGGTCTTGGTCCACTCATACTGATCCATATAGAATGGACCTTGGAGTGCAAGTGTGACACGAAGACGGGATGCTAGGGCCGATAGGGCCGATAGGGCCGCTGGGGCCGCTAGGCATCTGGCAACACATCATCGGAACGCCGCAGACCAAGGATTCCTCGGAGGCAAAAGTTTTGGGGCTCACCCAACGCACAGTTCCAGTGCGATTCAGCTGCGGTGGTGCTGTTCGCACCCATGTGTGACAAGAAGCACCTGACCCTGCAGAGCATGCTGCACAGGGGCCAGCTACAAGTAGATGTGGCTTTGTGGCTTCAACAGATGAAATAACCAGGAGTTCTTCTTGGTGGTCTTAGGCCTTTTATTGTTGTTTGCAAGCTTCTGCTTGCTGAAGCTCCAACGACATGCCCAAGCATTAGGTCGAACCATGTGCGGCTTGCTCCATCGCTCACCACCCTGCCAGCTTTCTCGGGCTGCTTGACTAGTCGCTGGACAGCTCGGTATCGTTTCGTCGATCTCCCAGCTCCAGAGGAAGACATTCATGTCCGACTCGGGTGGTTTCGCTTCACAGCATGCACCACGTCGAATGCGAAGTCCGCCCAGGAGGTATGCTATCCCAGCCCACACCATGCACGCTTAAATCCACGTGCTTGCTTTAAGCTGACATGCTTCAAGCTGAAAGGTTCTTGCTGACTCTCCAGCTCCCTGTCGAGCAACGCACGTCAACCGCGGTGCCCCCGCCTGTTGCTCTTGAGCACGTCGGCCTGCAGCAGCGATGGTACGGCGTGAAGGAATGGCAGGGGTCAAAGATGTGATGATGGATGATGATGGGCTTGGTTGTTTCAGCATCTGATCTGCAAGATGTATGGGACTTCTGCTTGAAGTGTGGGCTCGTTAGGTACGGCATGCAAAGCTCGACCGACGTGTGTCCAAGCCTGTGGAACAAATTTCTCCACTCGCCAACGACCAGGATTGTAGTGAGGGAGGTGCTGCTGCAGCTCCTCTGGCAGAACCTGCTGGTGATACTAAGGCTGCTACTTATGCTTCGGTAGTCATGTCGTCCTGACGACGCCGACGACGACGACGAGAACGACAACTCCGAACGTCGACTCCTGCCGCTATCAGAACTATTACCACCGCGGCTGCTCCTGCTCCTACGAATACTACGACTACTACATTGACTACGACGACTACGACTATAACGGCTACTACAACTACGACGACGACGACTACGTCCACGACCACGACCACGACCACGACCGCCACAACCAGCACCACCAGCACCACTACCACTACTCCTATTGCTGCTGCTGCTGCTGCTACTGCTCCTGCTCCGGCTTCTGCTCCTGCTCCTGCTTCTGCTCCTGCTCCTGCTGGAGCTTCCTTTGCCACCGAGGTCGACATGAAGTTGCCGAACATGGAGAACTCGTGAGTGGCTTGGGAGTGGCTCGGGAGAGCTGTCGCCATCGTCAATTAGAACCAGCGCGTCTTAACGCTAAGCGCATCGTGAGCATCACTAGGGTCCCAATCGGAGCCGGCAGGCGAGCATCATGAGCATCATTGGGGGCTCGTTTTTCCATCTAAGGCCGGTCTGAAACACCGCTTTCGGATGACAGCAGCAGCACAAAAATGTGCTGCCGCAAGCGACCAGGAAATTCTACCAATTTCTGCTCATTAGGGGGGTCCATTCCCCCGCCAGTGCTCCTACCACTCCTACTGCTCCAACGACTCCTATTGCTTCTACTACTGCTACGACTCCAGCTGCTGCTGCTCGTGGTTTTGCTCCGTCTCCTACTCCTACTCCTACTCCTGCTGCTCCTACTGCTTCTTCTCTTCCTCCACTACTTCTTTCTGACTACCTACTAACACTACTACCACAACTGCTGCGGCTACGGAAACTGCGACGGCGACGGCTACTACGTGAGTCCTGCAATAAGACTTTCTACTCGAAGCCACGGCTTGGTCAACAAGTGTATGCAAGGAACATGGGCTGGGGCCGCGGCCCAAAGTACACGCCACTCGTCGCCACCATCCAAGGCTTCAGCCAGCTTTCTGAGCAGGTCCTCTACGAAGACGATGTGGACATGCAGAGGCAAAGACCATACCAGCCGTCCTGGTTGGGCCTGACAATGCTGCCAAAGGCAACATACACCACTGGCCCCTTCTCCTCGTCGCCTAGGAGCACATTGCAGGGGACACGTGCAGACGGTCCTCAGGCCATCTCGGGCCAAGGCTAAAGAGCCATTGCAGGAGGTCCTCGTCCACCGTAGACAATGTAGCCTCGTGTCTGCTCGCTTTGCTGCGCTTTTCTGCTCCATTTCCTAGCTTGCAGCCTTGAACGTCTCGCGATCCCGCTGCAGCTCGCCGTTCTCCTGCCACAACTCTTGACAGCTGGGCTGATGAAATGTAAAAACCCTGCACAGCTACACACGCGACTCTCGAGCTCCAGTGGCACAGGAAGTGGCAGCAGTGGGCTCGTGAAGAGGCTGCGTTCCCTTCCAGGCTCGACGATCCCGCTCTTCAGCTCTACTGGACATCATGTGAACGGCATGCGCACAGCGACACAACTCCGCTGGAAGCCTGTTCTCTTGTTGCCCCACCACACTCCTGGCGGACTCCAATGCAGCCGGGCCATCATCGGTTGCTGCTGGGCGCTGGCAGCCTGGTGCTTGGGTAGAGCTCGGCCAAGTAGGTGGCATTTGGAAGGTTCTTGAGCACCGAGTTTGCCACCTCAAAAATGGTCTCTCTACGAAGACCCGCTGACACCTTCTCACTTCCTCGAGCCAGCCTTGATGGGCAGCTTGAGCTTCTTCGCCAAAGGACCAGTCATCATGCCGATGAACTCTGGTGGAATAGATTGAATCTTAGCTGCTGTCTTGGCAGGGGCTTTCAAAGCTTCGCCAGGCCGACTGGAGTTCTTAGCCGCAGGCCGTGGCAGTGAGTCCGAAGAGGGTCATGTTCTGCGAGTTGGCCTCCGCAAGGCTGGATCTCCAGTACCAGGCGTCCAGAATGCGGTGCCAACCACACTCTCTGACCGGGCCTGGGGGAGTTGGCTGGGATCCTTTCCTTCATTCAAAGCCTTGATCACCTCCACTGGTAAGCCAGTCGCCTCAAGCCATGGTTCAATTCTACCCCGAACCGAGCGAGAATGACGAGGCAAGCCAACACTAGCTGCAGTCACAACCGGCCTTGGCCATCACTTCGGGAGGCAACTCCTTCGAGGGATCGCTCCTTACAGGAGACAGATCTCGTCGCGGGGAGAACGCGTGGCGCATCTTCGTTGCTTAGAAGGTGCGACTTTGGCTTGCCCTCTTTCAGGTGCGAGTGGTCCTCGCAGGATCTCAGGCTGCTGTGTTGATATCTGACGCTCCGTTCCAAAAAGAAACCACCTCGGGGATTCCAGGTGATTGCACCGGAACGAAGCTGACACCCTCCGCATGGCACCATGCAGGAATTAAGGCCTCAGATATTATCCAAGGCATTGAAGAGTTTAGGACACCGAGCTAAGGAAGACACGGCAGCATCCGGCTCAGGAGCACTTGCGAAAATCATGAAGTCTGCTTGTTTGTCCACAGTGACACATGATGAAAAGCACCTGATGTCCCTTCGCTCCGTAGCAACGACATCAGTGAAATAAGCTGTGCTCTTGACCCTCTCACATGTCTCGCAACAGCTAAACTTCACGGACAAGTCCCTCATGAACCCGTCATCTTCAACACCTGATTTTAGTCACGCGTGCTTCCAGCTTCTTGAAGCATAATCAAAGCACATAATCTAAACTCTTCGAGAAAACAAAGGACTTGCGCAACGAAACATTTGACTGAAGCCTTCTTCCGAATCCACACATACGAAACGCGAACCGCATATTGGTTTTTGTGCGTGCCGGTTGGTAACCCCCCAAAAATCCCGGCTTTCCATTGTTGGGGGATGGGTGGGGGTTGGGAACCACTAGGGAGGGGGGGAGGAGGTCGAGAACCCCGAACAAATGCTTTTGCTGGGTTGCGTGTTTAATTGCTGCGCCTCAACAAAACATCCCAAGTTTGTACATGCAGTTGCATACATCTTCACACATCTCCGCATCATTAGCTTCACAGATCAGCTTGTCTTCCCTTCTGGGGCATCGAAGGCCACCTCTCTTCCTTGCGCTACGTGGAATGATTGATTGTCTTCCTCCAAAAATGTTTAAGCGTTTCAGGCACCACGTGCTCTGACCATCTCTGACCGAACTCGAATTCAGCTGCTTGAACTCTAACCCGAAAACCTTCTTCGGCCCATCTGCGATTCACACAGGGATCCGTTACAGGCGTCTCAGAAACTTAAATGCTTGCCAACATTGCTTTTCGAGCTCGATCCGGAAGTTGCAAACCAGCTACTGCTGCAATCAAAACCCTTCCGCAACTTCTGCAGGCATGTCGCCGTTGTCGAGCAGAAATTGTCACAAACCACTACCTGCGTGCAGGGCAGAGCTGAGATCCCCAGGAGACAGAAAGTTCCTTTGCATGAGCTCCGGACATCAGGCTTGACTGCACCTTGGCTTGAGTGCACAAGCTTTTTCAGGACAGCTCGAAACCTGAACACACTTCATTAGATGTACACAACCACAGTGCAAAGCTGACGTGTTGTTGGATGAACTCAGGCTCTTGAAATCTGCATCCATCGATCCCGCAGGCGCGAAAGTTTTAAATATCAAGCCTTTCATCCGAAACTTAGACTTTTGGGGATTGGGCCCTCAACGCCGAGCCATCATCTCTCTGCAGCTCCAGGCACAAAGCGTACGAAAACAAAAGGAGAAATATGATGCCAGTGGGTCCTGCGAGGCCCCAGGAGGCACTGGCATTGAAGCAAGAGATCCGGCAGGCCCGTCCTGGGCTTTCTCTACAAACTGCGCCATGCCCCTGCAGGTTCCAGCGACAGCCCGGAAGTACGCAAGCACTCACTCGGTCGCTTGGGAGCTCCCCGGCCCAGGCCTCAGGGCAAAGCTGAACATGGAGGATCCACCTTCTTCCTGCTCGGTGTCGCCAGGGTTTCTGGCAACTTCCCGAAACCCGTCCTGGCTCGGCAAGAGGGCACTCGGACGGCCCGCGGCTTAGCGCAGGATTTTATGTCGCTGTCTTGCGCTGTTGCCTTTCGACCGCGACACTGCAAAACGTGCGGGCATCTACTAAATCTAAACCCCAGACCCGAAACACGAAAACCCTCGACCGACGGGAGAAACATGATGCCGTCGGTCAACGCAAAGATGCGGCTGACCGAAACTGTGTCCCCAAACCCGAAGCCCCAAAAAACAAACCCCTAGGGGAAAGACAACCCCACTCAAAAAGGTACGAAACAATCAATCCTCAAAGCGAAGTGGGAATTCCGTCCGGGCGTGTCGTGTCAGGGTCCGGGAAAGCGACAAGAGAAGCAACGTGCAAACGCACTCGGGTTCGCGGCCTGTCAGGCTTGCCAGAAGTTTCGGCCACTTTGCCCACGTGGGCCACTGCACACAAAGCTCATTTCAGAGCCAAGCATTTTTCGGAGTCGCAGTTTGCCAACAGGAAATTTGAAAGCCCTCTCGGTTGCTCAAAAGTGTGTTCCGTGTGGCCACATTTCGGTGTCGAACAAGCCTTGTGCAGAGATCCGGGCAGTTTGTTTCTAGCATTTCTGATATTTAAATTCTATCAGCGCACGGATCTACTCGCCTGGCTTACCAAGCGGAGGGACAGGTATGGGGTTAGGATCTTCGGATGAGCATACATGCAGTGGGTGCTCTTCCTGATATCGTGCTCTTGTGTCAACATGTCGTAGTCGTTGTAGTCCGCTTAGGGGTGCACAAACTGGACCCGGGATTTGCAGCGTTGTGGGGCCTCACGGCTTGGGCCTTTTTCTTGAGGCTTCAGAGGCTCCTACAAAGGCGCTGAGAAGCCCTTCAAAGGCCTTCATCCACCCAGCATCGAAACTGCGCTGGCGGTCGACTCCCACCACTTTGAATGAGAACCCTTGTGGTGGTGCAGCAGCGACTCTTGGCTGCGCGCGCCTCCATGAGTTGGAAAAACTCCGAGGTGACTCGCTCGTCTCCCTCGGTAACCTAGCAGAAGGCTTCATTGCCACATGTATGTGCCGCTCAAAGACATTGGCACGGATCATCACAGATTGACGCGAGACTGAAGTATGGTGAAAGCTTTCGAGGCCGCAGCATGAACGGTGAAGCCCAGCTTCTTCAGCTCGGCCTTGGATAGTGGCCGCGATCTTTCACATCACCTATGCACACACACCCAGGTCGATGCCTCGTCTTCCGGAAAACACGCGAAATGCACGTTGAAACCAGGACGTCCGACGAACCAGAGTCCTCTGAAAGGGCTTGGAAGGCACGGCAAGACGCCCAGGCAGTGAAGTTTGGCCTATGCGTCGCAAGTGGACGATGTGTCCCTGTCGTCAACTCTTTGTTCAACGTGACACGAGACGCAACCACTGGGCGGGAGAGCAGTCAGGCCTTCCAGGGGATGGAAAGGAAGAGGATGGTGCCCTTCACGCGGCTCGGATTCAACCACCAGGGCAGGCCTGCGACCCGGACGCGACAAAACGGGACGGGGCGGGACGAGCCGACCGTCGATGCCTTCCTTTGGAACTGCTCGAAGCAGCTCGCGACCCTCAGCAGAGAGCAGACAGCCGACGGCCTTGTCGGCCGAGCCAAGCGGTGAGCCCCCGCCTTCACCTTCAGACTGACCCAGCCAGCATTGGGCCCAGTGCCACCCACAAGCTCGAAATGAAGTCGCTCGCCTTTAAGCTCCTTCGAAGGGTGGACAACATGCCTGAAAAAATCTAATCCCCGATAAAAGTCGCTCCTTCTGCCTGATGATGGCGCCGTTGGCCAGTCGTAAGGGAAGCTCCGCAGAAGAGAGCTTCTCACCTTGGAATTCGCAGCACCCAGGAATCTCGTCGTGTGGCGAAGGGAATGTCGGGCCTTCACGCACCAGGATCCCGCCGCCGCCGGATCCGCCGATGACCTGCAAAGGCTTTCACAGGTGTAGGCCGCCGCTGCCTGAGGTTGTACAGACGGGGCGTCACACCTCCCATAGTGGCCCTCCGGTCATCAAATGTGCTGCGAAAACGATTGGCAAAAGACCAGTGCAAAGTCTTTTCGGAGACACCCATAACTTCAACAGCAAGAAAAGCGCTGAGTGCTAGCATGGCTTTCGTTGTCGGGGCTGTCTTACCAACGACAGATTGGTGCCAGTCTCCAAGCGATGCTGCCTTGTTTCAAGATTGCTCTGCGCGACGAGGAGGTTTAAGGCTAATGGCCTTGTCGAGGTTGTGGCCATTTAGTGTAAGTTCGCCTCAAGCTCCAACTAGTGCGTCAAAGTCCGTGAATTTCACCAACATGCAACCCCAAATATAGTCCTGAGCCAGGAAAAGCTTCACGTCCGAAGTGCTGCAGAACGTGCTACGAATACCACCGTTTCCCAAAACCTCACTCATTCGATATCTGGACTGCTGCCGGAAGTGTAGACCTTCAGCCTATCTGTCCTGCACATGGGCCAAGAATTCGCACATCTTGGGAGGTGGCAGATGCACAACACTGCAAGGCCGCAAGGCGATTGCGGGTAGCACCCTGGCAGAAGTTTGGACGCTCTCCAGAATGGAGTCGAAGAAGGCAGGCTCCTCCAACTGCAAATTTGCAGTGATATCAGTGATATCTTCATGTTTGGACCACTTCCTCGACTCTCTTCTCTGCAGGGCCACGCACCGGACCGTGAACCACTGCCTGGCAGAAGGGACACCAGTGGACCGACCGTGGCTGGCCCAACTCCGAGATCCAACCTCCGACTTGCGGGCTTGCGGTGTACCGCTACCGAAGGAGAACGTCCTGCACAGGATGTCTGAACGAGTCGAGCAACCTGCAATAACCAGCGACCAGCAAGGACCAACATGATCTGAACCTCTTCGAAAGCGAGTTCGCGGCCAAGGCCTCCGTTGGCACAAGAAATGCGCACTGCAAGACTTGCGGCCTGAGAGCGCCAAGTGGCCAGTAGGGCAACCAGAGCACAGCAGCGCAGCAGCTTCGGCCATGGCCTCGAGCAGGCCGTGAGCCCACAACGCCCACAAGGCCCACAAGGCTCCAATGTCCAAAGTCCAACCTGGGCGATGCCCATCTCCGTGACAAACGTCCCGGCTGCGTCATGGCTGTCTGGACTTGCAAAAATGCTGCAGAAGGACGCAGGGGAGTGCTCGACAAGAGAAGCAGCACTTTGCCACATGCTTTCGAATTCGGGATCTCCGCATCAGCAGCGGAAGGGTTATTCAGTTAGCAGGGCACTTCCTTTTGCTCGCCGCGGTCGACTTTGGGCTGCGGGAGAGCAGACTTTCCTTGCTTGAAGTTACAAACAAGGCCCTTGTGGGCCTATCTGGCTGCATCGTCTGCAGGAATGGCCACTGGATTCCTTGCGACACGGCACGGAAGGCACAAGAGTCGCTCAAGACCTGCACACTTCTGCCCGCGATTCCAGGAAGTCCTTTGTCCATGGCCCAAGAGAGACCCCAAAGGTGAGATTTGCTCATCGAAGGGACCGGAGGCCTGTCAACGTGACACGGCACGACGTGAAGATGTGAAGACGGAAACAGGGTGAGGTGGGCACGCCTTGCTCACCGGCAGAGTGCAGGAAGCCCCCCATGAGCTGCGAAGCGCAAACACTCCACCTTGCCAGGTATCGAAATTGAGTGGATGCGACAATCGCAAACTGGAGAGCCACACTCCGGTTGAACCATTGGGGGCTCGGGGACGGACTGGGCTGGGACTCCGTCGTCCCCAGCAGGGTAGGGAGTGGTGCCCCCGCCCCCGCAGCCGACCTGCACACCGCACAAAACGAACATCGGAAGTTCTTCTCTAAGCCCTTCAGGGTCACGGCGCAGCTTCGTTCGCTCGCATCGGAACCTGCATTGCCACAAAGCGCACTCGCCACAAGCCCCTACCAATCCGTAGCAAACATCGACGGACAGTTTAGATGACGGCACTTGATTGAAATCCCACGACGACGTATCATGGTTTTAGGCTAATCGCGTAATGATGCAAGCCTGCCGAGCTCAATGCATGCTTATGTAATTTTATATCTATGCGCCTTTGTATGTCTGCACGGATGTACCTATCTGTCTATCTGCCTATCTAACTGCCTATGTAACTGTCCTATCTGTTTGTACATCTATCGATCTATCTACCTATATATCTATCTACCTATCGGTCTATCTATCTATCTATCTATCGATCTATCTCTGTCTGTCTGTCTGTCTGTCTGTCTGTCTGTCTGTCTGTCTGTCTGCCTGTCTCTGTCTGTCCGCCTGTCTGTCTGTATGTATGTATCTATCTATGTATTTATGCATGTATCTATGTATGTATGTATGCATGCATGTGTGTATGTATGCATGTATGTAGGTATGTTTGTCTGTTTGTTTGTATGTATGTATGCACGGATGCATGTGTTTGAGTCGTCATGTGTGCGTGTGCATGGCGGTACGTCTCTCTGTGCATGTGCGTGTCTCTTTGTGTATGCACGTGTATGTATGTAATTTTGTGTGAATGCATGCATGCATCTATGTACTTACGTACCTTTGTGTCTTTGCCCGGGCTCACGCGGATATCAACAATGGGAGGACAACCCAAAAACAATTAAGCACAGCATAGCACAGGACAGAGAAATCGACGGGGAAAGACTTGAAACATTGACAACCTGCAGATACCTGCCTGAAAACAGTCTGTTTGTTCAAATTTTCAATGCCCCTCCGACACTCCAAACAAGCCGCAAGCAGTGGAATAGCGCAAGTATTTGCCAGGTGAGCTTTTCATGTACGTTTCCAAGTGCCATTGTGCAAGATCTAGCTGCAAGTCACACAGGAGCCCCAGGATGGGGTGAACTTCTGGCTTGTATCCACGGGACGCAGTGCAGAGCCAACGCCCTGTCCCTTGTACTGGTGTCTGGACCCTTAGAAACTGTTTGAACGTTGCCTGCGCCACCCCACGCAGATCTCTCGCCCGAAACGTTGACCTTTACAGGAGTGTCGACACTCATACATGCCATATGATCTATCAAAGAGGCTGATCCGAAATCCTTCCGGTACCAGGGACCCCAGCGACAATGCCGCCAGCGGGTCAGTCCCTGCAGCCTGCCAGCTCGTCGTTTCGATATGTTTGGGGTATTGAGCGCTCTTTACTGTACATCCGGCACACCTCCTCGGTGCCGTCAAGAGTGCAGAGGTCATCTGGAAGGAGCAGTGCCGTGCAGTGCTGCAAGAAGAAAAGCGTCCAAGAGAGTCCTCGGGTCCCTGGAGGCGACAAAGTCGGGCAGCTCGTGCAGCCGGCCAGCAAAGCTGGTGCCGGCAGCAGCCTCCGCAAGACAAAGGGAAGGGGAAAAGGGAACAACTACCATACCTACCGCCGAGAACGCTGCGGCAGCTCAGCCGCCAGTGACAAGTCAGCGAGCTCATCAGCCTGAGAGGTAAGTAGATGGCCCGAGATGCTCTCCGAAAGGGAAGGTTCTGTGGGGGCGAGACCAAGACATCTTCGAGTATGCCCAGAGACTCGGCGAGCCAGATGATGCAGTCACTGCCTAGCAGGGTACGAGGTCCACTTGGATCCAGAGCTGACCAGCAAGGGCCTTCCGGGTCTGTGGTTTGGCCGGCTCGAAGGGTATGTCCTGCAACCTGGCATCTTTCCATGCGCAAACAGGAGAGCTAGCTCAAGGTTGTCCATGCCGGGCTGGCAGTGAGGTCTACCATCATGGGGAGAGCAAACTTTGCGGCGGCCTCGCAGATACCACACAGCTGAAAACCTAAAGTCGCGCGCATGATCACTGAGGCCTCTGAAGGCAGGCGCAAGGCAAGCGAACATTGCCTCGGCCGAAACTAAGTCCCAAAAGCGACTTTGCCATCAGTGAACATATCCGATCGTCTCACGTCAGTCATCGCATGGTACAATGAGTTTGGGCTTAATAAATGACAATGAAGGTTGCCTGGAAGTAAATAGAAGCACTCCTAAGTGCTGTAGGGGTAAGCGAGGCCGTCGCCCGTCGCCACCTCGGAGCCCTTTGGCGTAAAGCCGCATCTCCAACCTCAGCCAAGAGCGGTGCAAGACGCCGTGCGCCTGGTGCGCAGAAGTCACGGAAGCAGCCCTCTGACGCTTCCGGAAGACGCCACGGTTTCAAGCCCAAGCCATCAAAGCCATGCTCTCAGACCTTGCGGGAAGGTCGTTTAGTCTCATGGCCGGAGCGGCTCGAAGACTCTAATTTCGATCATCATTCAAGCACGGAGGGCATAGCCCAGAGAACCCAAGACAAGCTTCCTAGGCTCAAGTCGGACCGAGCTCCCGCAGAGAGCTCTCAGGACAAGGTCATCCCTCCCAACTTGAGGTAGGTTTCGCAAGCTGTCGGCACCAACTGTCAACTGCTCTCAGACCTTGCGGGAGGTGTTTCCTCTCATCGCGCAGATGGCTCGAATACTCCAATTCTTTGCATCATGCGAGCAGTGGTCGACCCAAGCACCAAGTTCAGCGCATCTTCAAGGGAGCCATGAGCAGTCAGTGCAGTCTGTGCAGTCCCCGGGCTTCTGGCGGCCCCAGTCCACCCAAATAGAAGCGGTCCGAGTCCAGCCACAGGCCAGGTTCTGCCAGCCTCTTTTCGCAGCTCAGGCACGCAAGCGCCACGTGATTCCACCCACATTGCATTAATCTGAGTCTGACGCAAGGACAGGTACCGAAGCCTTCGGAGACAGTGAGGGATCTTCCACTGATGCGAGATGCCCTGATCACAGATTCGATTGAGAAAGCGCAACCTTCCAGAGTGCGGACAGCGCTGTCAGCCGGCCTGACCCTTGACCCTCTCGAGCTTATCTGCCAGGGTCGAGAACTCTTGCTCCACCGCGCGGAGCCTGGGGCCGAGAAGGGAAGAAGGGCGACATGGCAGAGGAAACCAGGCACCTCGAGTCTGAGAGCACGACTTCTCCGAACTGTCCATGGACACAGACTTCAGCTCCTCTCGAGAGCTGCGAAAGTGGAATTGGCCTCGGCCAACACGATCATGCAGACCACGAATGCTCCTTGATCTCTGCCGACACCGCCCCAATTTGAACATGTAGTTCGCTTTCCAGTCTCTTGCTGACCTCAGCTGTTGCTTTTGCAGGCAGAACACCACACTCATCAACGTAGCAAGGGATCACTTTAGGCGCCCGCCACCTGGTCCTGCAAGCGGAGACGGTCAAGCTGCTCGACGTCTCTACCCGGAGACTCTACCAAGAATTGCAACAAGAATCTGTTTATGCCTCAATGCGCCTTAGGCCTTCATCCTGTTAGTACGGAGGCCTGCGCAAAAGCCTTGTCGGTAGCGGCATGTAGCCTCGGCCCAAGCAAAGCAAAGGAGGCGAGCACAAGCGCAGGCACTTCGGCACTTTTTGAAAGCCGCCGGCGCTTCTCTGAAGAGGTCCTGGAGTCGCTGCTCGGAGCCTGGGCATCACAAGACCGAACTTCGACAAAGCACCGCCCGGAAACCGCCTTGCAGATTCGCCGCCTGAGCGAAGCAGAATCGTGCGCAAGTGCAGTGATGCAGATCTCCCACTGGGGCCCTTCACCGTTCCAGTTCGCAAGTCGTGCAAGCGAGCCTGCAGTGGGCCGCCAAGCTGCTCTTCGGGACTGAGCAATAAAAAGTTGACCGGAAGATGGTAACTCGCGGATCCTCGCGGCCTCGCCTCGACGGCTTGGATGTTTCGGTTCGCTGCCGCCGCCTCCTCTCGCAGCCGATCAAGAGCTCGGGATTCCTCCTGGCTCGCGCAGAAACAAGGCAATGCTGCACTGACTGGCTGTCCCACGCTCCCTAGTGAAGTATGAGAGTAGTCTCATCCTGCCTCCTTCCCGGAGGCAAGAGCAGTGTCCAGTTCTTGTGCACGTTCCGATGCGGCCTCACGCAACGGAGCTGTAGCGGACTTCCTGCAAGACCTTTCAGCTGCCGGCGTGGAAGGCTGGCAGCACTCCTTTTTTGTCTCTTGTCTTCTGTGCATCTTCCGCCGCTCTGCAAGTTGTCGCGGCAGAGTCGAGCTGCCCATCTCGTTCTTGTAGCTTCTTCAGCTCCACGGCATGACGGAAAGGATTTCACTCGGCTTCGTCTGGTGCAGGCTTTGGACAGCATGCCTCAGCGCTCGAAGCAGAACATTGTCCGTGGAGGCAGCTAGGACGCTTGAAGCCCGTTTTTGTAGCATGCTGCATTTTGCCAGGACACGTGTTGCGTGGCTATGGCAGAACGCCCATTTGCAGGAGATGCTGGCGATGATCTTTGGGCTGCGTCCGTAACGCAGATTGGATTCCTTCGTCCATGCACATGAGCTGCACATAGATGCAGCTTTGTATCCGCGCTCTCGACATGTGTGAAAAAGTGAGGGGGGCAAGATTATTCTGAAGTGCACTCTCTTCGAACATATCTCTCCCTTGTCCCCGTGTTTGCCTTATGCTCCGAGCAAGCTTTGATGCTGCCGGGCTCGCTGCGCTCTCGGGCCGAGCTAGGCTGCCCACTTCTCGTCACACTGACACTCTTCTGCTTGCCAGGGCTTGCAGACAACTTTGGCGAAGTTGACACACGGGATCTTCGCCTTTTCACAGCTCCAGGGGGGTCTGAAGTTAGTTCGAAGGTCTCTGCCGCCGTCGAGGGGCTTTGACCAAGGTGTCGTAGCAGCTCAGTGGATTTATAGTTCCTGACACTTGCCGAAGGGAATCCCTCGGAACCTACTCGCACAGCAACGAGACTCCTGTGTTCGCCAGCGGCTGTGGCCGACTCTCGTCGGGAGGCGCCCTGGGAGCCCACCATCTCTGCCTTCTGACCAAGCCTGCAAAACGGTGGATCTTCGAGCCTCCGAAAAGGGCCCAAAGCTGCCTTGAGCAGCTCCGTCGGCCGAAATGGCCACGGCCAAGGAAGCGTCACGGCCTCTGCAACGGCGGGAAAACCGCTCCTCGAAGCAGCTCCGCCTGCGCTGCCAAGGGACGACTGGATCCCTCGAGCGAGGTCGCCTCGCGCGGATTTCGGCATTCATGCAATCCCGACAGATCAAATCCCCGGGCTCGACCTCCAGGCTCACACTTATCGGCAGGCACAGCAGCAGACTCCTCAGCATCCGGAATGCTCCAGAATCGGGGCCGACATATGTTGCACAAGCACCAAGATCAAATCTTGGAGTGTGGGGGCAATGAGTGTAGCACCTCACACCTGCGCCGATGCGCCGATGTGCCGCTGCAGCATATCTGCGCCGATGCGCCGACGCGCCGCTGCAGCATATCTGCGCCGATG